CATTGTCATCTTAAGATCATAATGTGTATTTGCCAAATAGCTTACATACTTATGCATACGGTAAATTTCAATCCCTTTTTCTTCTACCTTCTGTTACTTCAGCATATTTTATACCAAGTACTTAAATAATTTTTGTTTCTTCTTAAATTAATACTTCCAGGCATAATTTGCAATGGTCACAAGGCACACTTGAAGTTAAACCTCACCTTCCAAATCCCTCACCTTCTTTGATGCCTTTTCCCAATCACTTTAGCTCACAATTCACTCACTCACTCAACATTAAGCAGTTTCTTTTTTCTTTGAGATGGAGTTTCGTTCTTGTTGCCCAGGCTGGAGTGCAATGGTGTGATCTTGGCTCACTGTAACCTCCGCCACCCGGGTTCAAGCGGTTCTCCTGACTTAGCCTCCCGAATAGCTGGGATTACAGGCATGTACCATCACGCCTGGCTAGTTTTGTATTTTTAGTATAGATGGGGTTTCTCCATGTTGGTCAGGCTGGTCTCGAACTCCTGATCTCAGGTGATCCGCCTGCCTCGGCCTCCCAAAGTCCTGGGATTACAGGCGTGAACCACCGTGCTCAGCCACATGAAGCAGTTTCTATTTGCCAAGCACTGTATTAAGTGCCTAGGACATGGAAATGCCTAATACACGGACCCAGACCTCAAGGAATTCAGTCTACCAGAAGATGGACACGAAATGGATCTATCCCCAAACTGAGATCCTACCTCCAAGCTGGTGTTGATAAGGAATATCAAACAACTGCAGACGAGAGCTGCCATAAATTCCTGGCCTTCCACTTTTTAAATATTTTTTATTTTTAATTATTATGGATACGTGGCCTTCCACCTTAACTGGCCCTCAGTGTTGCCTGGCTGTGTTCCCTGTTTTGTTTCCATAGCAACTATTTTCAAACTTTCTCCCCTTTCCCAAATTTCCCAACCCTCTATCCTATTCTTCACTTGAGGCATGGGCATCTTCTGCATCAAAAAAATAAACAGTCCGTTTGTAAATTTCCCCAACTTTACGTACCAAGAGCCTGCCCACACCTGTCTCCTTCCATTTCTCCTCTATAGATAGACCTCTCTTTCTACGGCGAATCTTCTACCATTCTACTCTACGTACTTCCTCCCTCCTTCTGAGGAACTGAACACTGCTGTGTCACTGAAATTTCCCTCACTGTCTGCTTTTTAACATCCAAATTTAAACATACTACAGCCCTGTGCACCCCACATGAAAATACTTTGAGTCTAATCTTCTTCAGTTCCCACTTTATTCTTTCCCCACCTGCCTCCTAGGGCAGTGGACCCTCCACCTGGACATCCTCACGTTCCACTCGCTCCTCAATTCACCATCCTCTGGCTTTTACCAATCACCTTTCTGAAACTGTCCTTGCTGCTCAGTAGTCATTTCAGTCTTTTTTTTTTTTTTTGAGAGACAAGCTTCCCCTATGTTGCCCAGTCTGGCCTCTAATCCCTGGGCTCAAGTGATCCTCTTGCCTCAGCCTCCAGAGTAGCTGGAACTATAGGTGTCAGCCCCTGTCTTGTTCTCTAGGCAGCCTTTGTCACTCCTAGGGTGGAGTGCTTGCTCCTTCCTCAAGCACCTCTCCCTTGGCTTCTTTGACCCGATAGTCTCATCCTGTCTTGCTGGTTTTCCTGTTTCCTTCACATATTCAGCCACCTCTGACTACCCTTTAAATGCTGATATTCCAAGGGTTCTCTCCTTGGCCCACTTCTCAATCTTCATTCTCATCTTTCTTACCCGCTAAGGACTTCCAAGCCTGTATTTGTAACCCAGATTGTTTTTCTGAATTCTAGACCTTTAATATATACATGTGACACTAGGTATCTCTACTAGGATCTCTCCCAGGGACTTCATATTCAATATGCCAAATTAGTTTTCACCACATGCCCTGTACTTGCTCCACTTTCTTCCTGGAATGCTGTCTTCAGATACTGACGTGATTGGCTCCTTTGTATCATTTGGGTCTCAGTTCCCATGTCACCTTCTCAGATACTTTCCCTTGACTATCTCCTCTAATTTGCCCTTCACAGCAAGCCACAATCCAGCATCATGTCATCTTAACACTTACAACTACATGAAGTTATTGGATCTACTTATGGCTTGTTTCAGGCTACTAAATGAAAGCTTTCTAAGAACACAGCATTGTCTATCGTATTCACTGTTGTATTGCTATGGCACCTGACGTGTGGTAAATCACAAAAAACACTTATTGAATGAATAAAACTCCTAAATTATGGACCTTGGAAATATTATGCTGAATGAAAGATGCCAGAGACAAAAGACCATGTATTATATGGTCGCACTTACATGAAATGTCCAGAATAGGCAAGTCGATACACAAATAGATTAGTGGTTGCTTAGGGCCGGAGAGGTAGTGGGGATCGTCTATGACTGCTAATGAACACAAAGTTTCTTTTGGGAGTGATGAAAATGTTCTGGAATTAGAGAGAGGTGATGGTTGTCTATGCTAAGGACTTTCTCAACCGCTAGACCTAGGAATCTGAGTCATCATAACATCCTCTCTGCCCGGCCTTCCCTCCCAACAATCATCCTTTCAGGTACATCTGATCGGCCACAAAACCCTGGCGATTTCATTTGTGTACTCTCACACTCATTTCCTTCCAACCACGGCCACTCATTGCACTCACTATAGGCTCTCATCACTTGGACTTGAATCTCTCAATCGTCTCTTACTGGATCCGCTCTACTCAATCCATCCTTTTATTCATCTTAATGTATATTCATGTTGTGCCAACTAATATCTACACTGCTGCCAGGAGTGACTTTCCTAAAACATAATTCCCACAATATCCACGCTTGCTTAATATCCTGTGTTGGCTTCCTTTAACTGACTTGATAAAGGTACAAACTCCTTACTGTGTATATGAGGTGCTTCCTAAACTGGGCCTTGACTACCTGTCACCTTATCTGCTAACTCTTCAGCTACAGCCATGAAGGATCTGGTCACAAGTTTGACCACTCTTGCTTTCTTTTCTATTTTTGTTGAGATGGAGTTTCACTCTGGTTGCCCAGGCTGGAGTGCAATGGCGGGATCTCCGCTCACCACAACTTCCGCCCTCCAGGTTCAAAGTTTCTCCTGCCACAGCCTCACAAGTAGCTGGGATTACAGGCATGCACCACCACGCACGGCTAATTTTGTATTTTTAGCAGAGACAGGGTTTCTCCATGTTGGTCAGGCTGGTCTCGAACTCCCGACCTCAGGTGATCCACCCGCCTCAGACTCCCAAAGTGCTGGGATTACAGGCATGAGCCACCGTGCCCAGCCCACTCTCACTTCCATATGTGCCACTTCCACTGCCTAGAACATCCTGGCCCCCACTCTTTAACTCCTCCTCATTCTTTAGGACTCAGCTCAAGCATCACATTATTCAGGATGCATGAAGTATACTTTTCCCCTCAATCTGTCAGAAATCCGTTTTCCACACTTTCACAGTGCTCAGTGCAGTGTCTACCTTAGCTCTTAGATTAGCTGTTATTTACAAAGCATCTACCACGATCTTTACTCTTCAAGTTCTATCTTATTTCCATAAAACAAAACAGGTTCAGTGAAGTTGCTGTCCTAGTAAGTGGTCAAGTAGATAATGAACTTCAGGTCTGACTTCAAAGTAATGGTCTCCTATTATTCCAAAGTATCTCTCCAATACTTCCCGTTGTGCACTGTAATTCTCTTCAAAAGGGCGAGAGCAATTAACAGGGCCCTCTGTTGCATCTGTATCCCCATGTGTGGTGCTTGACACTTAGTGTTTGCTCATCACAGGAAGAGATGACAGGTGTAAACTAAGCAGAAGGAAACAGACTCCATCAGGTGCTCAATGAAGCCTTACTGAATGAATGTGTAAAGAAGATACATTCTACCTTTTGGAAATGTATATTCATGTTGTGGCAACTAATACCTAACAATAAACATGTTGTGGATTCGAAATGCTCTTCTGTAGGAATTCAAGTTCTCTTCATTTGCATCTCCCCTTCAGCAGCATTCCCGACTGATGAAGGCCATGTCCACTGAAAGGCCACTCTCCTTATGGACAGTCGAGGGCTGAGTTTTTGTCCCTAACGCCCCCTGCACTTTCTCCTCTCCCCTCCAGCTTTACTCCTTTCTTATTCTACTGGCGCCTGAGCTGAGAAGATCGAAACTCATAGCAAGTCCCTAATAACTTCCTGGCACATGTCAAGCCCTGGTGTTATGAAACAGACTTAGTTCTTCCTTGCACCGCTGTAGCCTCATCAGGTCCTCCTCTCATCCTGTCGGCCATCAGCGTCACCAGCTCCCTCGCGGCTTGCCCTGACGCGCAGAGATCCGTGCTAGTGCTAAACGACAACCTTTTTAGTGTGTATGAAAGCGACCGGTGGCCCTGTAAACTTTTTTTTCTCTCTGACTCCAACATACCCTCCCCTGAAACTGATCAACAAGCAAAATCCCGTTCACTCTACCAGGCCCCTTCCGATCAATGGTCCTCCAACCCCTGGAGCCTGAGAAGCCTGGCCTGCAAGCACGGACCAAGGGCCGGCTGCCGGGGTAGGTGGGAGCCGGGGCGACGGAGGAGACCAAAGTCTCCGGTTACCCCTCGTGCCCTCTCTCGCCGGTCCCTTACAGGGGTCGGATCAGCAGCTGGTCGCTCTCCTCAGCAGGAATCGCAGACATCCCAAAAGCGTGAGGGCGAAGTGGGGGTGAGGAACAGGTCGCCGGGGTCTTCTTAAACTAGAAGCACAGCCATGGCCAAATTAAGAAGGAAGAACCCCATCCACCAAGAACACAACTTCCGTCACGCCGGAGCCCGCGACATTAGACTCCTCCCCTCGACTTCCGGTCGGGGTAAGCGGCTCGCGAGGCTTCCCACCACTCAGGGTCCGGGAACCTGGGGCGGGACGTCAGGACTGCGCCTGCGCATGGTTTCGGAGGCGGGGCCCGGCGGACTTGGGCAAGAGCGCTGGAAAAGCTGGCGCTGGAGCGAGAACGGGAGTAGCTGCCCGGGCGCCGAAGGTTGCGGCGCTCCAACTCGGACCCCGAAGTCCGCAGCCCGGGGATGGGCCCGCGGCCGCGAGGTGAGCGCCCGGCCCTCGTCCCGCCTGGCGCCGAGCTCGCGGAGGCCTGGCGGGAACACGGCCCCGAGAGCGGCGCAGATTGCAAGGACGGATGGGTGGGGCCGCGGGGAGGGCGGAGGAGAGATGCGGGGCACCGGCTTGGTTCCGGGCGGGGCGGCGCTGTCTGGGCGCGGGTGAGGAGCCTGGACCCGCGGGTCGGTCGTCGGCGTCGTGGACCGCAGCTTCCCGAGCCGCTGTCGGCCCCGAGGGGAGGCAAAGCGGGCAGCGCGCGCCGTTTGCCTGCCTCTTCCTCTGTCCCGCTTCAGCCGCCTCCAGCTGAGCAGGGTCGGGGTTGCCTGCCCCCTTCGCTGTCTCATCCTCCGCACCCGGCACGTGGCCGGTGCTCCATCACGGTGGCAGACAGGTGCTAAGCAGGCTGGCGTCTGGGAGGAACTTTGGAGCCGGCTCTCCCTAGGCCCAGAGCTTCGCCCCATCCATCCTTACCCTGGTGACCCTGGGCAGGTCACTGACTCTTCCGGGACTTTGGCATCCTCGTTGGAAAGGGGCTGTTACCCTGGAGCCTTGCTGGTCAGTGAGGGTGAGAGGAAGCTGTGCCCCTAGCACCGTGCATAACACGTGGTAGGCGCTTGGTACAGGGGAATTGCTGTTGGGGTGTCACCTCCCCAGAAAGTTCTCGGCTTCAGTAAGCGCGTCTCTGCCAGATGCTGTGGCTGTGCAGAGAGGAATCATCGAGCTCTGCCTTTGACCAGGTGCAGCTGGGAGAGTGAGATCAGAGACCACAGCGGATCGTGGCGCTGTGATCAGGGGATACACTCAAGCTGTGGGTCCCTTAGCCCAGCCTTGGGTCCCAGGAAGGCCTGCAGCCTGAAAGGGACCTTGAAAGGTAAGAGGTAGCCAAGGGACTGAAAGGTGAAGGACGTCCCGGGCTCGGCAAATCAGGGGCACGTGGAGCATCGCGCTGAGAACCACGAGCAGCTTTGCCTTGCTGAGATCAGTTAACGGTGCCCGGGGTTTGGAGGATGGAAGTGGAAAGGTGGTTAGGAGCTGGGTCCTGGGGGTCCTGGAGGACCTGGCGTGTCCTGCTGAAGAACGTTGATTTTCTTTGACTTTGGAGAACCAGTGAAAGATTGTCAGCAGGCTAGAGGCATCAGATGTATGTTTGAAAGAAATCATTTTAATCGTTTTGGCTGCAGTATGGTGGTGGATTTAAAGTGGTAGGGAATCCAGTAGGACAAGGTCCCTTATCCATGAAATATCCTCAGATTTGTGAATTCCTTAAATTGCATGCCAAACTTTGTATGCATTCACATTTTTATAGGGTGAGGATCCATCATATTCATCAGATTCTAAAATGATAGTATATATGCCCATGGTCTATAGTGACATGGGGGTCGCTGGTGGAGAGCTGGCTCAGAGAGCTCTTCAGGTGGGGTCTTCAGTGGGTCTTGGTGCCAGATTGGATGTGGGGGCTGAAGGACAGCAAGGAGTTCATGATTTCCTGGTTTCCCCCAGCAATAACAAAATTTCCTGACAGGCGGAGGAGAGGCGAGGAGAGGGGCAGATCTGGAGTGGAGGATGATGGGTTCAGCTTGAGACATCTTTGCATTTGATGAGCCTGCTGAGCATCCAAGTGCCAATCAGGATCATTGGCCTCATTTTGATGCATGAATAATTTTGAGGCAAGAATGATTTCCTTAAGAACATGCATCAAGATTGCAGCATGTAGCAAAGACTTTAATAAATACTGCTTTTCCCTAAGCGCCTGGATTGACAATGGGAAGAAGGCCTTAAGGAGTTGCAAAGGCATTGCGGGTCGTGATTTTCCAACCACTTCAGTGTTAAGGGATTTAAGGAGATGCTTCAGGATTCCACTAACAGTGGAATCACATTTTGTTTTTAAAATAAGTTTTGATTTAAATTTTAAATCATATTTAAAATTGTTACCTATATATATGTATTTATATATACTTAAGTATAAGATACTTAAATATGCTATACACCAACATTTTAACCTGTCAGAGCCATTAACATGGTTCTTATGCTGCTAGGTTAACCTAGTTTTGTGCAGACCTTGGAATAAGGCTCTTCTGCCACCTCCCACTGACAAGAACCTCCCACTGCGCTGGTAAGGTTCTGCTTTGCAACAATCATCCGCAGTAGTCTTCCAACGCATCTCTCTCATTTTGCTGTTATCCTTTGGAGTTAGTTCCCTACCTGGCAACCAGGGTCATTGTTTAGAAAACAGAAGATACCTGATTGTGTTGCTAAACTGCTTTTTAAAAGCCTTCATGCGGCTGGGCATGGTGGCTCGTGCTTGTAATCCCAGCACTTTGGGAGGCTGAGGCTGGCGGATCATGAGGTCAGGAGATCGAGACCATCATGGCCAGCGTGGCGAAACTCTGTCTCTACTAAAAATACAAAAATTAGCTGGGTGTGGTCGTGTGTGCCTGCAATTGCAAGTACTCGGGAGGCTGAGGCAGGA